TCACTAAGCATAATTAATACTTGAGCAGGTTGATAACCGAGCCGCTCTGTTAAACGTGGTCGCTTTAATTTCTTTTTAATTAATAGTGATATCCAATTACTATAATTAATTTTTAACGAATGACGATAATCCGCGCTAATAATATTGCACGTCGTAAATCCAGAGAATACATTATATTACTAGTTTACAAGCAACAGGAAACATTTAATCGTAATTTGCAGTTCGCAATACGCACATATACGTCACATTTCGTGTTTAACAATACGTGGAATACGTTCAACGTTGATTTTAATGAAGTTTAAAATATTTGAAACAGTGGTTTTTTCATAAACTTAATCGCGCGTTGTGACTATCTTTTTCTATCTCGTATATTGTTTTGTGCGTGTCAAAATATGTACTTGATCTTTCACTCTCGTCAAATATGTTGATAATAGGTGTGCTAATTTTGTGCGTGATACCTAAGTCTTACAAATAATCATCATACAATAATAATGTTGATGTCTTTAGAGTAGAAATAAGGAAAAGCGATCTAAAGAACATCTCGTCTTTTGACATCTGGCTCGCAACTTCCCTTTTCTCTCTCTTTCTCTCATTTACTCTCACTACACAGTCTTTCTTCATCTCTTTCTCGCTTCCTCCGTGTCATCTCTCGTTCTCGCTTATGCCCGCGTGACTCACGTCGTGGCGTGCGACGCGCACCTCGATAAGTGTCGCCGCCTCTCGGGGATTTCGGGAACCGCGTCGGGGATTCCCCTACCGCCGTCGTGCGGAGTCGTCTTTCGCAGAGGGGATACCTCGTCACGGCAGTGGGGAGTTTGAGGAGAGAAAGAGAAAGATAGAAGGAATAAAGGAGAGATGGAAAAAGCGAGTAGGGAGGAAGGGAAGGACTCTAGTCACGGCAAAACTTTTGTCCATTCACGGCCGACACGCTCCTAATTGGGAGTACGCTCCGAGGTCTTGTTCCACGCGCACGGATGCTGCGTGAACGTGCTGGACCGGAGCGGAACTGATATTTAGGAATCGTAGTTGTTTTTTCTTCTCGCGCGCGGTCGTGATCAACCACTATCGAGCGTGCGTGGATCTTTCCGTTTATCGAATTTACAAACAGCGATGTATTCGTCACCTCTCAATAGAAATTATTCTCTCGATAGAATTGTATGTTGTCTCTATTAGAAATGTCATTGAATTGCATGCGCACGTTTAAAAATAAATTTTACAGAGGCATAAAAGTTAATGAAAATTAAATTTGTTATGCGTCAAATGCAGACCTCGTATACATACATGCAAAACCTTGTTCTGCGTAAAAAAAACGTTCTCTGTAGTATTCATTGTATACTATTTGCTAGCATTCATGCATGCTTATCTAAAGGAAGTTATATTCCACTACATACACATTCACACATGTCAATGCAATTTCCGTTCGGCGAACAGAAAGTTTGATCACTAGAATTGAATGTAGTGTGTTTTTTTTTTCAATCATGGTCTTGAAGGTTGCTATTTCGTTCCGAAATTGCAGACATTGTTGCAACGATATTTTTACAGATATATTTTTTTTTCATAGAAATGGAATGGTTTTTGGCAGCGACCTAATTTCACGACATTGCGCTGTAGTACAATATGCAACTGCAAAACTAAAAGTTGCAAGTACAAAAAAATCGTTAACCGATGTAATTTTATTCAAATTCGAAATGGTTTTATACGACGCGAGTAAATAATATTGCATTATATATAAGTATTCGTATTTTTATAATAAAAAGAATATTCCAAAATCGGCGACGGCAAACGACTTTGCGCAACCAATTGCGTTCTAACAAGGTTTTGTGAAATTGGATATTTTCGCGCAAAGTTTTTTTTATGCTCAAATTCTAAACAACAATGACGAAATATCACCATAGAAAGATGATAATGATGTCGAGAAGTGTACCATACTAACGAGCTGAGAGACTCACTCGATTGTCGTCGATAGCGCGCGAGTCAGAAAATTGCGCTGCAATCTTCTGCGCGTCGCCAGACAGAGCAATGTACTTTTAGTCTACTGCACATTTTATCATGTAAACGCTTTGTAAAATTTAGAACGTACATACAAAAAGTTTTACTCGAGATATGTCAAAAAGAATCCACAATTTAATTACATAATTTTGTCACATTACTTTGTAATATAAACGTAGATTTGTTTTTCTAAAGAAATTTGTATTTATCCAAGTTAGATGAATGACATGCGTACGTCATTATTTCGTAGCCTAATCAATAAATATAATGAAACCTAATCAATAAATATAATGAAACTATGTGTCATTAATAGCCTTGAGGCGAGTGGGTTAAAATCTTGTGGTGAAGGACTAGTGCAGCACTAGTTCGCGCGTTATTAAGCGAGTGTATTTTATAGGAAACTACGCGCGCACATACATGCACACACACACACACACATACACAGAATAGCGTAGTAATGAGTAATAACGAACGGTGTTTGCCAAAGTTCGATTATGGTCTTTTAATATTATTAGGTGTACGCTAAAAGAAAATAACTAATAAACTCCATTACGTTTGTTAGCAATGCAGTTTATACAATGTTAAACTAAAGATTTAACATTATTCGAAATTTTTAATATGTTTATGCTTCTTCAATCTAACATATATAAAAATATATCTTAACTTAACATCTTATAGTACTTCTTAAGTGCTTCTACAAAAACTGTAAAAAGTTGAAAAAATATAATGAAGAGAAATAGATAATGTGTGTATGTCATATGTAATATATATATAATAGAATATAAAATATTTTTACATAAAGCATATAAAAACTAAATTGTTTACTTGTAGCAGATATTTAGACATAATAGTAAGAAACATATATATTAAGTTTTTTTCTTAGAATAAATTTATAGGCTACGTAACAATAGATAGATCTTGCTGAAAGATATACGATAAAATATTGAACTTTTATTCCGGAACTCATCGTTCATTCACTTCTGTCTGAGTTCTTTCTTTTTTTTCTTTTTGTCATGCGATTGACATTCCGCTAATCAAAGGATGCGACGAACGTTTGCATTTCCTGTGTCCAGTCATTAACATCGGCATGTTCGGTGGGGCTTTATCGTTTATCAGCGAGCGACAACCCCCTTCTATGTCGGCCACTTTGCCACAAGTCGGCCACGCCATCCCCAAATCGCTAAACTATCCTCCAAACACCAAGTACCGCACTAGGGAAACTTCGACGTTAGCCACCCTCACACCTTCGCCGTTTGACCCTAGAATCGGCCAAGTGGCCGAGAATCTGACCAACGAGCAATTACGGACGAGGTGCCGAAAGATTTTGCGGTGGAAGATTTACCACCAACGGGACGGCCAGAAATTATTTACGGTGCTAACTGACGAGCAATTCTAATTTTGAGATGCCCAAAGACTTGGAGCTTGATAGTGACGTTTGACAAAACGCTTCAAAGGTACGAATTATCTTAATGAGCGAACGACTTATAAATCACAGCACGCGGTATAATGACAGCCGTATATATTCGTCAAAACCGCAGGCACACGTTAAATTCTTTTTAATTTCTTCTCATTTCGCCTCTTCTGCAAAATGGCAGGTCGCTTTTTTGACTATAGTAGTCAATGATATAAATACTTCCGCTAACAGAACTTACAGCAAACAACCGGTACGACCTTAATGGGGATATCAGTGGCTCGCGTTACTCATCAATATTGTCGGAAAAACGTGGTGATTTAATTTTTCCTTATAACTGTCTCGAACACAATGCGCATACCAAAATGTCAACAATTGTCGAAACAGATGCGATTGCATATAGTACTCACGAAGTATACACTCTTAAATCATATGTTATAATTAAACTGTACCGATATCCTGCCTGTCAATTAAATCCGTCCTTTCTCTAAGAATCGCACTGTCAGTGATGTGACAGATAAAGCGTTTTTATTTATCGGCAAATAAATTTCGCGAGAATTTAACATAAAATTGCGACACTTTCTGGAAAAACTCACTATATAAGCGATCACTATATATAAGGCATGTACACGAGTTCGAAACACAGATGTGAAATAGAAAATTATATTATTAATAATTGATCTTTTCATATTTATCTTAGTAAATATAGTTCTTCATCAAATTCCATTTCGTCTAACAATTATATTACTTAATACTTATATCTGTTATATCATATAACACTATTATTTTATGATATATAATTTTTTGATAATTTACATTTAGATTTTTCGCGAAAACCGTAATGTTATTAATAATTAATGATTCTGAAATATAACACATCACAATATTGCCGCACGCGTGAAAAGTGAAAATGTGTGTATTTTTCTTTCGAATTACGACAAACGTTCTGTCCCATCGCGCAAATACTGGCAACGTATCGAATGACTGTGTTACCCACATCGAGTAGATTTTCTGATTTAAACGTTCCTACTAGCAGCGAACGCGTGACACGGTCGAACCCTCCGGCAACCCTCCGGGATTATCTCACCCCACGCCAACACCGAGCGGCCCATTTCCGGATATACGCAAAGCGAACGCACACTCACGAGGCTCTCTCTCTCTCTCTCTCTTTCTCTCTCTCTCTCTCTCTCTCTCTCTCTCTCTTTCCTTCTCTCTCGCTTTCTCTCTTTCTCTCTCTCGAAACGCAAAATACACTCAATCGGCACAATCGTGATCACTTTGCTCTCGCGTGACCCAAAATACTTGCCACTCGGCCTATCCGCACTAATCCTTGTCACCAAAGCAACGTGCACGTAGTCGATCGCGATTATACTTTTCTGTCAAAACTCCGAAGCGATACTTTTAATTAATTTATTTTTTCTACGTTTGCGGGTATTGGTCGACAACACCAAATTCTTATCGGCCGAATTCTCCCGATCACAATATCACTTCAGTTTCGCGTGACGATTGACGTAAAATAGATTATCCCATTCGCACTCGATAGCACCAAACTTCTCGCGCAAGAAGCATCATTCGTAGAACATTGCCGTAACACACTTACCTGTTGCCAAAAATGAGCAAGCGTGAACAAGGGCTCCTTTTTGTAGAGCCATTCCATGGTCGTTATATTCCGCGAGTTGGCCTCCGCGGAGGCCTGCATGCTGGCCAGTGCCGCTGAGTTCAGACTCGCTAATATGGGCTGCTGGAGCGCCGCTGTCACGACGGAGGTGTTGCTACCGGCTACCAGGTTGGCGTGGTACACGGTCGCGGTCGGCGCATCTTCCGAACCACCAGTAACCAGTAGTTGGGCCCCGATCGGCGCTGAAGGCCCCTGGAGCCCCAGTGACGAAGCCACTTTGACGGCTTCGAGCTTCTCCGGCGGTCGCAAAACTGCTCTTCCTCGTTTGCCACCGCCTCCTCCGCCACCGCCTCCTCCGTCTCCGTTGCTGGTTGCACTCGGGGAACACGTCTTAGGCGCCGGTTCCGTCGGTACCGTCTTTCACTGGTAGTCCACGGACTAGCGCGAAGCAACGTGTCACGCGTCCACTTAGCAATTTACACTTCCCTAATATTGCCTCGCGATCAACATTGCCGGGATGACACTTCTTTGTAAGAGCGCGCAATTCGACTTTCATGAGTTTTCTTCTCAAAAGTTTTCAATGAACATATATGTTAGAAACATCGGACAATTATCACTCACACTGATATATATATAATATATATATATCCTATTTATAGAATTAGTCTAAGTGGAATACTTCGATCAAAATTTCTCGTTTGTCGTCGATGTATGATTCGAGTCGATCATTTGTGCTACGTTGCAGCGCGTTATGATTTGAGCAACGTTAAATCAGATTGGAGCACAGCGATACTGGAGTAGAGCGATACTGGAGCACAACGATTCTAACGAAGTAGACGGTAGTCTAACGTTTGTCGGAAACGTACTCGGTACCACGGTATCATCACTATTATACTAAACGTCTCGATCTCTTTCAATCGACGGATCCTGATGATCCGTGTCATTCGTCACCGTATCATTAGTCACCACTATTAAACGGTCGCGGATTTCCTGAATTCGGATCATCCGCGAACTTGTCACAAGTCTCTCACAGATCGCTCGTCAATAATTATCAAAGTGAACTTCTCGTCGATGTCCCCGGTGTCTACGTAACTATGATGCGAGATCCCTGCCCGCTGCCGCATCATACGACACGCATCACGAAATGGAGCAATGTTTCTCACTCGCACCCCAACGAGGATTCAGTTCACACTCCCGCACTTGATTTACACAAGAAAACATTCATAATACGATACGATCACGAAGTCTCCCTTCCAGTCACAGGGAAGATTCACTTTGTAATTTGCAACACTTTGAGTAACTGACACTTTGCAGTAACACTTGATCAATACGCCACGCTATTCCAAAATTTGTTTTTCTCGCAATCCGTTCTCCAGTAGAATCTCACGAGCCTCATTGATGTCAGTCTGATAGCGAGCCAGATGTCAAGTCCAAGTATTGAAAGGTGGAGTGATAAGAGGCGACTGCAATTTTCAATATTGTGTTTCCAATTTCTTCTTTCCCTTCTTCTTCGCGTTTCGTGGTTGTACTAGTGCACCCGGGTCGCGAACCCTTTCGTCCGCTCTCATCCGAATGACCTCAAGAAGAGAGAACGAGACCCGTCCTAGCAGGCTCCTAACCTGAAACTAAGAGCTACCGGACGACCGATGCAATGCCTGGAGGAGGCGCAGAGCCAATGGTGGGAGATAGGCGGTGCTTGCGACAGGTAGTGGGGGTAGGCCAGCCCCCCACGCGACCAATCTTTGGCTCTGAGACCATCCCCACCACGGTCGCACGCCGTCTGATCTCGGAAAGGACACCAGGCGAGTGGGGATAAGCCGCGGGAAGGAGCGGGGTGCCGCGGAAAGAAGCGGAGGCTGGCTAGGTGGTCCCTACCAGAGCGGATCTCATATTTTCAACTCCCCGACCGCCCTTTTCCAACCCCTGCCGATCGCTAGTTCCCTTCTTCGTTCCTTCCTCTTTTTCTTCTGATTTCCCATCCTTTCCATCCGATCTATCTCCTTTTCGCTTCATCTATCGGTCTGTTTTATTTTTTAGTTTCTATTCCCACCCTCTCTTTCTTTCTCTCTTGCTTTCAAGCCCGCCAAAATCCTTCGTCTTGACAGCTTAAGTAAACGTTCTTTGTTCGAGAAATAGATAGCTTATAAATTTGCCATAATGTTTCGAAACATGACAGTATTATTATCGATGATTTGACTGACTAAATAATTAAGAAACAATTACAACTGAAGAAACTCAAAATAAATTGTGTAACTACGTCAACTACTCATTGTCTCTTTAAATTTGATTACTATTCGATTTACTACATAATAAATTTTATAAGATTTTTTTGAAGTTTCTTTTTTGTTCAATAGTAGATTTTGACACAAAAGAAGAGAGATCGAAGAAGGATACTAGACGAGATAAGAAATAACAAATGTGAAGCGAAAGCACAGTAGAAATATTGTATGTAAACATATTTGTAAATGACAATTATCTATTATATAAATATAAAATAGTTTAAGTGTAATGAATAAAAATATTTTTAATTAAGATTTAATTTAGCTAATTTAACACTTTTTTCTCGTTTTCTTCTACTATGCATGTATTATATTAAAAAGATAAAAATTGTATAAAAATTTTGACTAATGAAGCAAACAGTGTTTAAACGGTGTCATTTACTTAAGAATAAGAATTATAAGCTATCCGCAAAATCTCCTTCCGCGCGGTATATCCACCGTTACACTTGGTGCCTTTCTTTTACACTTAAATAACTATTACTTGAAAATTACTTCAAAAGCTGGACAAGTTTTCTTCCTAATTCGTGAACTGAATTTAGCTGAGATTGAAACTCACCGGCTTAATTGGTGCGAATATTTGTATTTTCGCAATCAATATATGTAACACGGTTACTTCAAAAGTTTACTTAATCAAATCTTATTGTTTAAATAGCTAAGTAGCTCAGTTCATGAAATAGACGAGAGATTTTCAAACTAAATTCAAATAAAATTTTACTGTTTATATCTCATTTTCTAATTGTGTGAAATATCTATTCAAACAAATCACGTGATTATAACTATATCAGAAAACCAAAACAAATGTTTTTAATGTATCAGTTTGAAAAAAAAAAAATTCAGTATGTATTTACGCGCATCCATACAACTCTAGCTATAGATGTTGCAAAAAAAAAAGTAAAAGAGAAAGAGCTTAATAAGCGGTTTATATCAGAATTATTTGTGTCGTGATGGCATAGTGTTATGGTTGACTTACGCGTCGTAAATAAAAAAATAGGCTAAGGGCACACGCGTGCAGATAATAGCCTACTGAAGGGGTTAGTCGGCACAACCCGCCTTTTACCATGGTAAACCCACTTCGCACCAGTTAACTGCTCGAACTCGGTGTACGTACATGTAACGTTCATTTTCATACTGATTGTCTGCTCTGTATTGACATTTAACTTTCCAAGATCGACTATCCAAATTTAACCAAACAAATTCATTTCTGACACGTAAGAGAGCGAGACGTATAATAATAAGTTTTTGTATAAATATAATAATAAGTTTTTTATAATAATAAGTTTTCCGGGATTTGACAACTTTTTTTTTTACAATATATTCATGTTATAAAAAGAAAAAGAATTACCGTAATATAGTTAATGAAATGAGGTAAGAACATATGACTGCGTATGCAACCTAGTGTATGTCTAAGTTGTATAAATGTTCGGACGCGTCATTAGACTACTGATGGATACTTGTTGCTCGATTAACGCAACAAAGTTGCAGCGTGACGATCGATTTCGTACAATTAAGTATTCCGCGCTAATTCGCAATACTATCAACAGTTTGGGATTGGTTTCTATGGCCAGCATGTCTGTTAGTTTAGGAAATTTCAGTTAGTTGTTATTAATGTGACAATGTCTGCTTTCGTATTCTGCAACGGATATCATTCGTCTCGAACGTGTTCTCGAACGATGTAAGGATGAGGTAAGCGATAATCGAAACTCGTTGCGGCACGAAGACGATGTCGCGTATATAATTTATTAATGAGAAACAATCTGCGCACGGCATTTTGGATTTAACATATTAAGAGATATAAATTTATCAAGTTGTCATCTTCAGCAAATCGTGATTGTTAAAAATATACACTGTTAATAGGACAAGACATTAATACAAATTCACACGTTGGCTTGTTTCCCAAACAAATTATTATTATTATTATTTTGAAACTCACTTTTATAAACTCAAAACATGCTCCCATCGCAGCAGTGACGAAAACAATGCGTGAGGGATATCGATTGCATCACAAAACCCGCAGAAATTTCATAACCTTCGAATTTTTAGAGACCGGCGTGTGACGCGATTATGTCAGTTCGCGCGCACTCGCGATGTTAACGCATGAAATTTATCAGGCATGACTCGAGCACGAAAATACTACACGACTGCCGGCTTGTCAACGTGTACTTTATGATCACCCGGTATAGCGTGAAGATTAGTTTGTCAACGCCGGCCGGCGTGCGCGATGCGCGTTTACATTCGCGTGCACGCGTGCATATGTGTGTTGCTGGCGAGGTTAGTAATCTTCTCGCGTCTTATATCTTTAATGCTTAGAAATCTAACGCGATGTCCACACTTGGATGGTACATTGTTGGCAAAGCTAGCAGTCCGAAAAGTAATAGTTATGTAGCCGCATAATACGCTGGCTGCGCACTGGCTCCGCCAACAGGCGTGAATTTAGATTTTAAATAGAATCTCTTGAATATAGAGTTAAGCAGAATTAAGAAGCTCTCTTTTATAAAAAAAAAAAAAAAACTTTCTACCTATGTTATACAAAAAAATTGAAAATATTTTAATTTCAACTCGTAATAGTGTCTAAAGATACAGAGACGATTTAATAGAATAAATTTTATCTAATTAAAATACCGAAAAGACGAACGCGTTAAGTTTGTTCGATAATTAGAATTACAATCAAAATAGGTTATTCTTGATCGAAATGAGCAGATAAATTTGACTGACACTTCGTTGTTGAACGCTTAATGAAGTAACGTGAACTTTCGGTGTGTGATGTCTTCTGAATAGTCGAATCACTTAATTTGTTATTCAATAAGTTCTTTAAAATATATTCTATATACCGCAAAATCATATTATGTCATTGCTAATTAGTGAATATTAAAACAAAATATTCTATATATTTCTCGCATTTGTCAGAGATTTGCAAGAAAATTTATCAAAATTAAATAGAAATATTTTATTGGATTATGTTGATTTTTTTATATGTATAATGAAATTACTGATAAAAAAAAGTGCTACTGTAAAATAGCGAGATTTCGAAATGCTTGTGAAGAAAAACCATGATATGTGACGCATAATGAAAGTTATTATTTTCCCTGTTGATTCGTGTTGTTTTCTATACATTGTAAAAAAAAGAAAAAGTCACACGCTGAACAGAAATCGGACACTTGACGATCCACATTTATATATTTACGATAAAGATAAAATTACGCCAAAAGTATTCGACCGAGTGTGGACACTCGGCGATTAGCCAAAAACACGAATACACCCTCGCGTTTTGCAATGCCGTTGAGACGATTTTACTGCTCGTATATACACGGTATGGCTGGTCGGTTCTCGTAATAGTACGACAAGTTAATGCGTCGTCTGATATGCGACGTGCTGCCCGGATTTCGATGTACCGTGGAATAACTCACTTGCGACAAATCATTTCGAGTTTAAATTACATATTTCCCAGACGTGCGCCCGTAGCAGCGCGGGTTTATTTCGCATTTACATCGTCCATCGATGAGAACAAAAACCGAATTTCTCGGCCATTTTCCGCGTAGCCACTGCATCGTTTACGCGCCGTGGTTTCTCGATCGCGTTTCGCTTTATGCAAATTACCATTGTCGTCCGTCACGAATTTTTACTCATGTCGAACAAAAAAACCGCGAATGTCGAGGGAGAATGTTTTTAGTTTCGCAGCCGTCCTTCTTCGAAGATACGGAAATGCCAAATACCGAATGCGTGAGCTGTCACTTAATTGTTAAAGTAATATTTTTGATTAAAAAAAATGAGTAACATGTGTTTTTATTTTTAAGGCTCAATTTTTGTTTCTAAGCGCAATAAAAACATATTGCAAAATAAATGACTTAAATCATTGAGAGAGAATACGCGTTAATAATGAATAATCATCCTCAAGCAATCATCCTACGCAGAGCAATATGTATAGAGACAGAGATCGGCAATTCGGAGCTACTCATTGAGGTCATTTAAACGAAACTTCTAAGAATTCGAAACGCGCCTTCTTTTAATCGGAGAAGGGAGGATTTCTTTACCTTGTCACACGGGAACGTCTACGACATCGCGGAGGACGAACAGAAACGGCTCGAACAAAAAGTCCCCAACTGCCGGCTGTCGAAAACGGAATCGCGAGAGACGTCGTGCGTCACGGTCGTCTTGGAATTTCGCTGCTCGCAGCAGAGAGACTCACTTTCTTCCAACGGTCACACGCTACTCAATATACCGGTCGACGATAAAGTCCCTATCCCCGCCATTGGTCTTCAAGGGGCAACGCGATTCTCTTCGAGGACTCCCCGGCGATTGTAACAATATCTTTTGCGCGGAGGCACACGAAGGATGCGCGACGAACGAGAGAAACGTAAGTTCAAGAGCCGCGCTCAGGGACATCGTCGCGCGACACACTCGCGGTAGAAACGACATGAGACTTAACCGTCTGTCTGACAGTAAGCGAAATCTTTTTTACACCGGATAAGAGCACGAAGGAGGAAGGGGTAGGGGGGGACAGGTACGAGAACCGCAGAGAACGAACTCGATCCCGAGTGAACACGGTGATTAGGTGTATTTTTTTCGAGACAACACTCCGCGCACAGATATACTTCTCGCATGAGAAATTGCTTTTCTTAGAAGAGCGTTTGTCATCCGGAGCGGCTCGCGAGACAGACGAGATCGCGTAAGACGTCGAAGAAGTGCAGCTGACGGCGGGGAATCGATCGTAATTAAATAGTCCTTCGTGAGTCTCCCTTTTCTTACACTACACGGCGCATCTGACATAAACGTCACGCCTCGTTTCCCTCCGCACAATTTTCATTTTGAGAGATGCATTTAATCTAAACTAGCATACATCCCGGCGATTTCATACAGCGAAAATCCCCCTTCTCACTAATGATGATCTCTCGTCAACGATCTCGAGTTTCGTGAACACACTTGACGCCAGTTCTGCGCGTTGAAACGCAAATGAAGTTTACGATCTCGTACTCGAGACGTTAAGGTTTACGTGTTTGCCGATCTGAAACTCGCGCGAATTATAATAGTCAGCTAAGTGCTATCAACCGCGTCTCGAGTTCTCCGACAGAGAGCCACTCGAATCGCGTTTCTCACTCTCCTTCCCGAGCCGTGAGGCAGGTTGGTTGACCGCTCGAGATAAAGGTACGTAATGTGCCCGAGACGATCAGGAATCCGTTTGATGGTCACGTTCACGCTGGTCTCTCGTTTCGACTTTCAGATAATCCTAGAGAATGCTTGCACGTGGATGACGTATCCGCGGATACACGACACACTTCCAGCGCGAAAAAAAAAATCCCGTGAAAATAATTCCGATCGAGAATGCATTTATTAATTGTCTTAATGTTATCATTTTAGATAACACGAATATTTGATAATCGCGCGGAATAATAATTTTTCACCGATGTTATAAATGTGCTATGTAACTCTTGACAGATAATATATTTAAAATTTTGTGAAAAACAAAAATGATAAAAAAAGTCTTTTGTTTTGTTGCGTAATATTCGAACATAATGTTACGATTGACAATACGCGGACATATAAACATCGTGTGATTAATCAATCTTTTGTAAATCACGCAATTTGTTTGAAGTTTGATGTCTACTTTTTCTCGTTTTTGTTGTTTTCTGATTTATAATTTTTAAACGTCTTAATTATTTTTGCTCATAAAAAAGATGCAGTTTAAAAAAAAGAATGCTTAAAATCATGATCCCTATGTGCCAATCACTCGTGTCAACTTGAGTCATCACGAGATCTCTCGAGGAAAACTTTGTCACAGCTGAAGATTATATCACAAGAACACAATCACACAATCGTCGATGACAATCACCTGGTGCAACACAATTTCTCAGCCGTTTTCCGTGTTTACTCTTCGGCGTCTTGGAGCATTTTCTTGATCTTCGCGTCGTCGTTACCGGACGCGAAAAATAAATTCCGCGCACGAAGCAGATAAAAAAAAAAAACTTCATTCGGAGTCAGAAAACGTCTTCTTAGTCGCGAGTGTTCTCTCTCGAGTGTGCGAAATGAGGGCGGAGAAGAGTGCACCTTTACACCGAAGCACTTCGTGTATTCGCCCGGTGATCTGGCGCGTGAAGCGTCGTGTCGGGTCCGTTTCGATCCACGCACTCCACGCGCCTCGTGGCGTGTGCGATGATCCTACTGGGCCTGTGTTCTGGCCAAGACTAACTCGAGCGCTCGGTGCCTGCAGCCCTCGCAGTCATCCCTCCGGCCACGCACTTTTCCACCCCGGCGAAAGAATTGTCCGCTACGTATTTCTCGGTGCGACGACCTCTTTCCGTCAACGATCTAATAATAGTTGTCAACAATCATTGTCAGTGTCTCGCAAACGATTTGACGTGTGCGTTTGACTACGTGATTCGTTCTACGGATAGACGCGGAATAATTAACACGGTTCGTGAACGCACATAAGTTGGACAAGACTTAATCGACGCGGGAGCGGGAGACCGCTTCGGTGTGGGCTGTATGGTGGCGCCGCGTAACGCGAAACAACGGAAACAAGCCTGCTGGAACGTGAGGGTGGTCACCCCCACCAGTGCAGTCGAGCACCCCTTCCATCCGTGGCCACGAGGACATGGCACAACGCCGAGGGACGGTTCACTATATCAGGTATCGGAAGTATCGGTGACTTCAACGGACTGATCGGAAAGAAGGGTTGCGGTATGGTGAGAAAAGAAGAGATTCTCGAATTACATTGACAGTGCAAATTGGTGATTTACGGATAAGAAAACATTAGAAGAACATTATTCTTTTTTAATTTGTGTGATCACAGAAAAAGAATAATATAATTTTCTTTATTTAATATGTACACATGCGATTTGATATATATTTGTTTCAATATCTTTCTTTAATTAAAATATATGTTTTAATATGTGTGTACACACGCGCTTCTAAAAAACAAAATTTCTTAATTTCGAGTAATGTTTAAATTTATATTAAGAATTAAAATGTTAGTATATCTAATTTTTTACTTTCATATAAAAGCATTTGTTAAGTAAGACGATATAATCTGCTTCAAGCAGTTTGACACATCTATCAAACAAATATATTGTAATTGTTACAAAAGTAAATAAATATATGTAGGTAATAGTGTGTGTATTCTGAAAAGATAAATACTCGAACTTCGAGTAAGTAGTCGGAAAAACAAGAAAGGCTGATAGTTTGACTTTGAGTCTTTCCGATCGTATTGAGAGTTAAAGCACGACAGGGTGGGAAAAGGGGTGCATGAGCATGCGCTCGGAAAGGGCGATCTTAGGCGCAGGTTCTAACCCCCTCAATGCCTCCCTACCGCTTCTGGACGATCACAGCAATAGCTAGAGCACAGCTAGACGTTTTTCCACCCTTATCTTTACTTGCTTCTCATCCCCGAGAGCTTATATATGCACTTTCGCAACTCGTATCGTAGCGTCAATTCGAGATTATTATCGCCGTGTTACTTTAGCGACATGTAAATCATTTTTTATTTACATTTAGCAAAATATTTATATTTTTCGGAGTGACAGATAAATAGAATTGAAAATCAAACGAATATTAAATACAAAATTTTTTTCCCCCTTCTCGTAGTTTTTCATTTTATTACAGACAGTAACATGCCTCAAATTTACGCGTTCTCTTGGAAATATCTCTCAGAAAGGTACACTTGAACTTTAGGAACTGAATAGCGGCTTTCATTCTAAGAGTCGCAGCCGACACTGCGCAGTACACTCTTTAAAACTTCCTACGCGGCATTGTCGTAATCTGATCTTCGGAAATTGTTTTCACGACTGATTTCTTATTAAATTAATACGTAATAATAAATTTGAAACCGTATTGTCAAAATATAAATAAAAAAGTGAGAAAAGCGCGACTTATTTTGTTCGATTTACTAAATATCATTTTTGTGAGAGATATTCTTCTCACAATACAAATCGAAACATGTGACTAACAAATCTCAGTTCACGTGATTTATAATGTAATGTCTCTTTATGTAAAACTCACCAGTCTCGATATTTCGCCGCATCACTGCGTTCTCACTGCTGCCGTGTCATCACTGTTTTCTCGATCTTGTCTTTTTTTTAATTGAACTACTCCGATAGTTCGCAACAGTTCAACGCATTTGCAATTCGAACGAAAACACGAAGTGGCTGACTTACGATCGCGCGTAAATAAACATTGAATACGTTTCCTGTGTTGACTATCACTTTGCACATCCGACATTCGATATTCATTATACATATAATATGCACGAAGCGATCAAACAAAATACGACGATTATTTTACGACAATCTTGACTTCGAGATTCGATCGGTCGACACGCGACTTCGATACGTGCTATATTGCTGAGTTGAACGTAGCTAACTTCGCGTCTTTAGCACGCCCGGTGAGAGATGTGACCGCAAAACTCCGGACGCCGAATCAAGAAAATAATTGCAATCGTGTACCTTGACTGATCCGAAAATACATTGCACGTCTGCCTATCATTTGATTCTGCATTCCCGATAGGAATTTGCGCGTGAAATTTTGTTTTTCATTACGGAAAAACCGCGTAACAGGAAGCGATCTGACACGCACACGAACATACGAACTGATCACGAGGTATCACGGAGCGTTGCGAAGTATGACGACGTCACACGACCGTCAGCCGAAAGGGCAAACGCGTACAATCCAAGACGGAAACGAACACCGAGTGGTAGCATAAACAAATCTATCGTTATAATCAACAACGGATGGAAAAATATCAGTAAGCGTTTCTCTAACAATTCGGAATTCCGTCGAAGTGTTCCTCGCGCTCTTTTTTTGTCGATTTGGAGTTCGCGCGTGGACGAACGTCAAAAATTTCGAAGTAATAAGCGACAGAATATGGCATTCTCAAGTAAGTACAATTGTATTAACAGTTTTTTTTGCTATTGATATTAATACTCGAAGAATTAAAAGTCGTTGCGTTAAAACGATCAGGTGTTTTGCCAAGTAGATTATTGATCAGCTGTGCGTTCGGTTTCCGTGTTTTTTTTGTATTTTGCGCCGACAAAAACAAACACAAAATAAAATTAAATTTGCAATTAAATCAAAGATCTTTAATTTTTTTTAAACAATTGTGAAATTCGATTATATTGAAATGTGAAAATTTGCGATTTGTCTACGTGTGATGCGCAGATTGAGATTAGGGGTACTATCTACCTACGCAATTGGCGGCTTACACCTGATATGTGTCTTACGTAACGTACGTCTACTCTATAACCTATTATTCAACATTGTCCTCCTGAGACGAGGGTTAAGCGTTTACTTTCGATCACATAATGAGTGGCAATGTAGGCCAGGAACGTCCACAGGATCATATTTCGTCGTACGTAGCGATACTTAACACTCGGGTCGAGTCATACAGGGAATAGTCGATTACATACGATAGCTCGCCATATTTCTCAGAATTCGCGTAATCGTCGTACAATATACATACATAATAATAATAAACAAGAATATTGAACCTGCGAAATAACGTATATCAACAGATCGAAACGTCGAATGTTAACGAACTTGTATAAATGTTCATATCTTTCTGTGTTTAAATGAAATATACAGATAAAATCATAATTTTGTTTATAATCACAAACGACAATTACTGACAAAATATTTCAATATTTATGTTTATTACGCCAAATTAGAGGAGAAAGTTTTGCAAGGTCGTAACGTTTACGTACGTACAACAGTTTGAAAAATTTTTTCTTTTCACTGCTATAAATATCGTGGAAATTTTTGAAGTTACTTTAAAATGCCAAAATGCTTACATTTTGTGTGCAGTAGTAATATTTTTTAGCGCGTACATTACATACGTGTAGAATAAACAATTGAATGCACGCAAAAAGCACGCAATTTTTTACAATTTCCTTCAACAGTTCGAAGAAATTTCGAAGTACACAGTCGATAATATCGTTCGACAATGTACAAATGTGTTTCCTGTGTAAATACAAAATATCGAACGCGTATCTCTTGAATTTCTTGATTCGCAAACATCTAAATAATCACGTTATAATCCATTGACAAATACGTTTATAAATATATTTGAAATTTTTTATTTGCTGAATTTTACAAATCTTACTACATAAAAGATATTAGTTGTTGAAGCACATTAGTTTGTATGACTTTATTTTATATTTTAATTGTCGAAAATCTCTTAACGACGTTATTTTAATTAATGCACGCGTACTTTGAGCATAAGATTTTGTTGCCGCGCAGCAAATGATAAGCAAAACTAAAGCAGTCGTTCTTGCAGCAACGTAGTTCTCATGCCGTCTGTTCTACTTTATTGTGCAACACGAACGTTGTAATTTTGCCTAATTACCGCAGCAAGAAGTAATTTGCAATAAACGCTTCTGAGGATTAATTAAGACATTTCTTAAGAGATCGCATTTAACTTCCATATATATATATATGTATATATATAAAATAAATAATCTTATATGACGGAAATATAATTTATTAGCTTAAATATAATCGTGTAAAGTATAACGTATTCTATTACGCAGTTTTTTAAATACTAAAATTAAAATACTAGTAGAATATTATACATATAGGCATTAAACAATATCGCTTGCCTCAGTTTCTTTATTTTATTTATCATAAGACAAAAGAGCTTCGAGAGACTAACAATGTAATTAGTGTTTTTAAATTAAAATTCATTATATATCTCTTTCCAAATATATTGAAAAGAGAGTTTACATTATTAATATTATTCCTTATTTTGATTTCAATTCTCACACAATCGATTTCTTTTCCCTCGTTTACTGAACTGTCTCGAAATAATTTACAAGAAGATTCGTAAAGTCGTCTAGCCGGTTCGTAACATGAACAAGAGACGAACGAAGGGGAGAAGCAGTTACTATTAATAAACATAGGTAGGATTGTTATTCGCACATTTTGCATTAGCATGTGGCAAATCTGGGTCTGACCCTTCATTGGCCCAGAAAATATGTAAGTAGCGAGAGCACCGCGCGCCCAATCGGCGACTTATATTCGCCAATTGTCATTAAGATCTCTCGTCACAGATTTAATGCTGAATTCCTTCTCTCTTGAATAATTAATGAGTTTACTTTGCATACGCACCGCGCACATGTTTGAATCTGAGAGATAATCCGTTGAGAAACAAAATA